TACTATTTTGGGGGGTTCCTTGTTATAGTTATAGTATGATATACCCCGGTGTCAACGTAAACCCTAAACCCCTACAGCCTAAACCCTAAGAGGTTAGGATTTGGGGGTTCAGGGCTTCGGGTCGAGGATTTAGGGCTAAACGTTTAGAGTTTAGGAGTTGGGCTTCAGGGTTTATAGGGTCTAAGGGTTTGGGGTTCAGGGGTTCAGGGTTTAGAGTTTAGGATTTGGGTTTAAGGTTTGGGGTCTTAGGGTTTGGGCTTCAGGGTTTAGAGTTTAGGATTTGCTGTTCAGGGTCTGGGGTCTAAGGGTTTGGGGTTCAGGGTTTAGAGTTTAGGATTTGGGGTTCAGGGTTTGGGGCCGGGGTCTTAGGGGTTGGGCTTCACAGGGTTTAGAGTTTAGGATTTGGAGTTCAGGGTTTGGGGTCTAAGGGCTTGGGGTTCAGGGTTTAGAGTTGAGGATATATATATATATATAGATAGATAGATAGATAGATAGATAGATAGATAGATAGATACATAGATAGATAGATAGATAGATAGATAGATAAGGTTTAGGGCTCTGATTCAGGCTTTGGGGTTCAGAGTGTAGGGTTTAGGTTTAGGGTTTAGAGGAGAAGTCTTGGCAGAGAGATGTCTGTTACGGCTTTGTGGGGTTTAATGATTAATGGGTCTTGTTGAACCATCCTGACCTTCCTTCATGTTTGAAGAAGGTATAAAAGGGCTTCGAGGAGAAAATAGCGCATCTTTTAGGGAAACCAAAGCCTTCAACCTCGAAGGAACTTAAAACTATATATATATATATATATATTACTTTACTCTAATGTTTCGAAGGTTAGTAATGGGGGAGTCATCGCAACAAACCCTTAACCCTAAACAAGAAACCCTAAACGTGCAGGGTTTCTCAGGGAGATTTAGGGTTTAGGGTTTAGGGTTTATGAACTTCTAAGCCTTAAAAGCCCATGGGCGGCGGCGGAGATTTGAAAGATTAATTTGTGAGAACTCTGCGTGGCGCTGTGGCTTTCATCCTGAAGCCAAAGTTTATATATCCCTGGCAGTACCACCCTGCCCTTATGTAGTCGCAGTAACGCGAAATAGTCGACCTCAGGCACCCTTGTCATAATTCTCATACATTCTGCCCCACAAGCCCGATCCGCAGTTGAACGATCAGTTCAAAGAATAGCTGAAGGTTCGGAAGCCCTTATGGACGCAGACTCATGTTCGCAATCGCCCGAACAACTCTGTTCTACTTCGTCAGGCCCTAAACCCTAAGCCCTCATCCCTAAAACTCTAAAGCCCTAAACCCTTAACCCTAAGCCCTAAGCCCTAAACCCGAAAGCCCTAAAACCCTAAATCCCAAACCCTATGCCCTAAACCCGAAAGCCCTAAACCCGAAAGCCCTAAACCCGAAAGCCCCGAAGCCCTAAATCCTAAACCCTGATTCCCAAACCCTAAGCCCTAAAAGCCCTAAAGCCCTAAACCCTAAACCCTCAAACACCTCACAGGAGATCAGTAAAATAGGGGCCTAAATTATTACCTATGGCTATTTTGGAAGTTCCTTATCATCATTGTAGTATAATATATACCCCAAAACCCTATTCTAAGTATTTTAGGCCCCTACATTATAGACTCTAAACCCTAAACCCCAAGACTCTATTCTAATTATCTATTAAAGTCCCTACATTATGGACCCTAAACCCTAAACCCTGCCCCTAAAACCCTATTCTAACTATTTATTGAAGCCCCTAAATTACAAACCCTAAACCCTAAACCCAGCCCCTGTTAGGATTCGTATCTAAACCCTGTATGGCCCTATATGAGTATATTAACCCTTATACGAACCCTTGCAGTAACCCGTCTGGGTTCCACACCACCCGCCTTTCCCTAAACCCTAGACCCATAACCCTAAAACCCTAAAACCCTAAACCCTAAACCCTAAACCCTAACCCCTAAAACCCAAACCCCTAAACCCTAAACCCTAAACCCTAAACCCCTAAACCCTAAACCCCCAAACCCCTAAACCCTAAACCCTAACCACCCGCCTTTACCAGGCCGGCTTCCTCCGTCGTTCCGCAGGTGGCGGAGGCCCTTGGGGCCTCTAAGACGAGAGGGTCATAGGGTTTAGGGTTTTAGGGGTTTAGGGTTTAGGGTTTTAGGGTTTAGGGTATAGGGTTTAGAGTTTACAGTAGGGTGTTAGGGTCTTTAGGGTTTAGGGGTTTAGGGTTTTAGGGTTTAGGGTTTAGGGCTTTAGGGCTTTGGGGTTTACGGTTTAGAGTTTACGGTTTAGGCAATGTAGGGGCCTTAACAATTACCTACATGATTTTGGGGGTTCCTGATTATAGGGGTTGGGGCACAGGGAGCTTAGGGGTTAGGGCTCAGGGGTAAGGGCTCAGGGAGTTTAGGGTTTAGGGTATTTGGGTATAGGACTCAGGAGATTGGGCTTGGCCTAGAAGTGCGTGTTTAGAGAATTTAGGGTTTAGGGCCTTTGGGTATAGGACTTTATCCCTGAACCCTAAACCCTAAACCCTGAACCCTAAATCCTAGACCCTAAACCCTAAACCTTGAACCCTAAATCCTAGACCCCAAATCCGAAGCCCTGAACCCTGAAGCCCACTTAAAACAGCAAGTGCCCGAAGAGTATGTCCCCGAAGGTTGGTGCATCCGGGTGCACACTCCGTCCTCGCCTGGGACGTGGAAGAGGCCAGAGTGGTGGCCGCATCCGGATCTGTTCGCGCTCTCGCTGGCCGAGCATCCGACCTGGTTGGAGAGGTTGCCCTTTAGGGTTTAGGGTTTATCAGGGTTTAGGGTTTAAGGTTTAGGGTTTAGGGTTTAGGGTTTAGGGTTTAGGGAGCTGAGCCGCTGCGCCACTTGACAGTGCGCGGGTACTGTACCCACAGCTGCTCCCGCCTCCTCTCCCGCACCCAGGGAAACCGCTAAAAGATCCTCATGAAATTGCTGTGGTACTCCAGGTTGTGCAGGCCAGACTTGGCGCATGCCATCTCCACTCTCGCAGCTCAGTCCACTACTTGGCCCAAAAATGCAGACAAGCAGGTGCACATGCTGATGTGCTACGTGTCTCATACCATGGATCTGGGATTGAAGAGGGTGGTGAAGGATCCGTTGCAGGACTGTGTCCTGGACTTGTTCGTGGACGCCGATTTGACGGGATGCAAAGTCGACTTCAGTTGCAGAGCGTGTTATTCCGTTGAGGAGCTGCTTTACATGATCGCTGGTTGGCTCCGGCCGTGGCGCATGTGAGACCAGTTCCAACGACACCCGTGTGCAAGAACCTACGGAAGAATCGTTTGGGTGCTTGCGGTGGGATTGCTGCAAGCGCGCCCTTGCAGCCCCCCATGCCGGGAATGAGCACACACACACACACGAAGAAATAGTGCCTGGCACTCCTTCACACGAAAAGCCTAAACCCCTAAACCAAGCCCTCACCCCTCCAGTCCTAACCCTAAACCCTAAACCCTAAACCCTAAACTCCGTCATAGCCCGAAGCGCTATACCGTAGCCTCCCAAACCCTATCCGAGCCTCCAAGGCTCTATATAGAAGCTCAGGCAACTAGTAATCTTGATCCTAAGGGCTCCTTATTATGTCATATCTCTTAGGGTTTAGGGTTTAGGGTTTAGGGTTACTCTTATAAACCCAAAAGCTCATTTCGCAAGATTATAAGGCATCTATACTAATCCCTGATGCTCCTTATTATATCTCTGTTCTGATAAGCCCCAAAACTCTGTTTGCAAGGTTATAAGGCATCTATACTACTCCCTGATAGCAACCTGCAAAAAGTTACCTTGAACCCTAGAATGCTTCAGGGTTGGGGGATCATCTGACCTAGTAACTATAGGGTTATAGGGTGAAAGGGCTCCTTAAAGTAAAGGGTTCGGATCTGTAAGCGATCTAAGGGGGTGTAGGGTCGCTTAAAGGATCAGGACTTGGTAACCAGGGTTATAAATAGGGTAGCTATACTTCTACTTAAGTAGAAGCCCAGTGAAGGTACAGCACTTATAACTTTACTCGTTAAGTCCCATGATCCTTTAAGTAGACCCTAAACCCTTAGCCAATCGATTCCTTGTAAGAGCCCTTTTAGGAGCCCTTACTTACTAAGTCCCATGATCCTTTGAGTAGACCCTATAGACCCTATAGACCCT